CAGGGACAGATAATCTCCCCTCCTTATCAAAACAATACAGCCACAACAAAACATACTAATTAACCATCTCCTGATAGGACAATAGCCTTCTCACAAACAAGCCTTCTCACAGCCATAAATACTCCACTCTCAAGCCTTACCCAGAGCACAGTTTGCTGTCCTCTGAAGATGCCGGGCACAGAGACTGGCGAAACGTTAGGAAGAACCACCTTCAGAACACGGCCAAGAAACCAAAAAAACCCACAACAACCATAAACACATCTGTTTCTAGATCTATTTACCATTTGTGGGATCTGTATAGAGACAAACATTTTATACATAAAGTTGCTATGTATGCCCTTGAAAGCTTTAGGAGTAAATTTGTATGACTAACTGTGGTATGTTGTGCTACTCCATAAGGCACTTAATTCTAGATTTAATGTTGTATCCAGTCACTTTCATGTATTTGTGATGGCTAACAATTCTTAACTACAATAAAACTTGACTTGACTTGTGCTTATTTTATGGGCATATGGAGTGAGAGAAGGTGCACAGACTAGTTCCCACCAACAAAGCTGGCTGGATTTCAGATTGCCAAGTACAAAAATAGTGTGGGAACTGAGAATCAAGTTTTATCTCACACCACCTAGTGGAGATTCTGAATATTTAACTCATACCATTTAGTATCTGACTCATCACTGGGATGAAATATTTAGCAGTGCCTATAAAGTTCCTACATAAGATAACACAGGAACAGTGTTGTTCTGTGGATAACCTCATCAGCTTAACAACAACCTATATTTGTCAGCTTGTATAACATATGCAGAGACATCACCTTGCCAACAAAAGTCCGCATAGTCAAAGCTATGGTTTTTCCTGTCGTGACGTATAGAAGTGAGAGTTGCACCATAAAGAAAGCTGACCGCCGAAGAATTGATGCCTTTGAATTGTGGTGCTGGAGGAGGCTCTTGAGAGTCCCCAGGACTGCAAGGAGAACAAACCTATCAATACTAAAGGAAATCAACCCTGAGTGCTTACTGGAAGGACAGATCCTGAAGCTGAGACTCCAGTACTTTGGTCATCTCATGAGAAGAGAAGACTCCTTGGAAAAGACCTTGATGTTAGGAAAATGTGACAGCAAGAGGAGAAGGGGACGACCGAGGATGAGATGGCTGGACAGTGTCTGCGATGCAACCAACATGAATTTGACAAAACTCCAGGAGGCAGTGGAAGATAGGAGGGCCTAGCGTGCTCTGGTCCATGGGGTCACGAAGAGTCGGACACGACTAAATGAACGAACAACACCTATGCATGGTGGGATGTGGTGGCGCTGTGGGTTAAACCACAAAGCCTCTGGGCTGCAAGATCGAAAGATCAGCAGTTTGAATCTACGTGACAGAGTGAGCTCCCGTCTCCTGGCCCCGCTCCTGCCAACCTAGTATTTTGAAAGCATGTAAAAACACGAGTAGATAAATAAGTACAACCTCGGTGGGAAGGTAACAGCGTTCTGTGTCGAGTCGCGTGGTGGCGCTGTGGGTTAAACCACAAAGCCTCTGGGCTGCAAGATCGAAAGATCAGCAGTTTGAATCTACGTGACAGAGTGAGCTCCCGTCTCCTGGCCCCGCTCCTGCCAACCTAGTATTTTGAAAGCATGTAAAAACACGAGTAGATAAATAAGTACAACCTCGGTGGGAAGGTAACAGCGTTCTGTGTCAAGTCGCGCTGGCCACGTGGCCATGGAAATTGTCTTCGGACAAATACTGGCTCAATGGCTTGGAGATGGGGATGAGCACCGCCCCCTAGAGTAGGACACAATTGGACTAAATGTCAAGGGAATCTTTATCTTTATCTTACACCTATGCATTATGTTATCTATTCTGGACTGCATTTATAGTAATGGTACTCCTGGAGAAGGTAACATTTACACTATCATACCTCATCATTCCTCCTGCCAATCTAGCAGTTCAAAAGCATGTAAAATGCAAGCAGATAAATAGGTACCACTTCAGGAAGGTAACGACGTTCCGTGTCTAGTCGCGCTGGCCACATGACCATGGAAACTATCTACGGACAGACGCTGGCTCCATGGCCTGGAAATGGGGATGAGCACCGACCCCTAGAGTGGGACACAATTGGACAATTTGTCAAGGGGAACCTTTACCTTTACCATATCATTTAGTATTGTCATTCCTAGGCAATGTCCTTTGTGATACTGATATTAGATTTCAGAAGGTCTCCATTCAGGGCTAAAGCACCTGCTTCACTTTCAAAGTGACCTAAATTCAGTCCACGACATCTCCAGGTTTGGTTGGAATGATTCCAGTTTAAAAGCTGCTGCCAGCTGACGTTCCCAATAATGATCTCTAGAAGGTGTACCAACTCTACTAAATCTCTACTGGTATTTCACTTTGAATCCTTGTCACTCTTTGTTTTATGAGCAAGACTTTGTAATTCTGGGAGAAAGCTTTTTAATGTTTTTTTAGGGGGGATGTTTTGTGTTAACTCCGGGGAGGAGGAGAAGCTACATTTTGAACGCCTTTCCATTCTCCACTAGCATCCAAACCTGGAGCTTACTATCTTCACACTAGATATAGATACTTTCACAATGTGAAAGACAAAAGAAATTATAACTTGCAAGATTCTTAGAGCAGTCTATAGTTTCCCTTAAAAAATAACGTATCTTCTGCAATTATACTTAAACTTTTGAAATTAGGTCATTATTTACCTGAAGCAAATAAAATATTTTAGCACAAGAAATATGCTTTATTTTTTCTCTTTCATTGCCCAATTTATACGTATGTGTGTGGCGCTACTTCAGTCTCTTATACTGAGGACAAGAAACCATAATGTTGCGATTTCTTTAGAATAGTTAAAATCCAGGGTAAAGGGAGAGCATCTTCTCAGTGCATTTTAGAATCCAGTGTGACAATATTAGTTTATGAGTGCTACAGAAATGGCTACTTAGAGATTACACTTGGAAATTATTCCTGATATATACTACTTTCTTTCTTAATGGTTTAACCTCCTCTATTCATGCTTGGGTTGAATGTTGTTTCTTAACCTTTACTTGCAGGCTGCAGCCTCCACACTTTAGGGCTTTGCTGTAATTCATAGAAAAACATTGCTATAAAACGTATCATAGCTGGGCCAGTAGAAGGCAGTAGCAGCTTAGCTTTGTAGTTAGTGCTGAAGTGATCTTTCTGTACACTAATCACTCTATCAACAATGCTGGCAACCGTGATTTTGTGGAAGCTATTGTAGAGATAATGTCAAATATAACCATCTTTGCCATTGTCCCTTTTAATAATTAAATGTGCTTTTCTTTCTTTCTTTCTTTTCAGGTGCAAATGGTAAACTTCCAAGTGCAATAACAGCATGACACTGATCTGTCATATGTTGGCTGTAGCTTTTGTTCAGGTCTTGATAGTCTTGGGCAACTGGAGTCTTGCCAAGAACATCAACTTCTACAATGTGAGACTTCCAGTAGACCGTAAGTAACCGACTGATGTTCTGCTGGGTATGCCAGTGAATAGGCGTTCGGCACTTTTATTTTTGTTTCTGCTTTAAGGCCCTTGTTCGATTATTTTTAAAGGCGTTTATAGTGCAGTTTTAGGTATATACCAAAAAGCAAAACATTAATTTGACTGTCTTTGGTGGTTGTTAATTATTAGGTGGAACCCTTGCTTACTGGCTTGAAATGAACACCTGCGTGTTCATCTGATTAAGCTGTCACACCTTTTTTTATTGCCTTCCCTGTGCCTCCCTCCTGCTTTTGTTGTGTACACAGTACACATGCAGAACTTCTGTGTATCGTTAACTGAGGATTGCCCTTTTTAATTTGTGGCCTTGCAGTTTGGATGCAGCACCAAAAACAAGAAGAAGCTGAAGACTGGGTCTATTTGGCACCCCAGTTCGTGCCTAACTGCTATCTTTCTGTTGGCACTGCTCTGAGGCACTCCCAACAAACAACTGTTCTGTTTTAGTCCACAATGGCAACATTTTGATGATATTTAAAATTGTGCTGTGTTGAAGAGAGGCACGTTTCCGACTGGGTCCCACCCAGGAACACCAGATGATTCCATCCCAGCACATGAAGGTGCCAAGGACCCAAAGCCAGCCCAGGATTCTGGCATGCGGCTTAGTAAAACCCATCACAAGCACCTCTCCCCAGCCCAGGCACTAAAAATACAGTGGCCCAGATCCTGTCGGATATTTGTGCATATGCGAGAGAAATCATGGAAGTGATCATGGCTTATTAATAATAAATAAATTATATGAAACAGTTATAAACACACTTGGGAGTAACTGTGTGGGCTTACTCTTTTAAAACACATGCTCTTAGGATGGTGCTGAAAGAAGATTAATTTAACATTGAATAGTCTTTATTGCTTGCTATTCTGTTCTCTCTATGGCCTGTCTGGAGGGATTAAGGGGAATTCAATACCAAAATGGTAAAATATTTAACTCTTCTTCTTTTTTTCTTCTTCTTCTTTTTCAAATTTTAAAGCTACTCCATTTCCAAGCAGCTTCAAGTGTTTTACTTGCGATAACGTTGTAGACAATTACAACTGTAACAGATGGGCTGAAGATAAATGGTGTCCTCCGAGTAAGTGTGTGGAGAACAGTAAGAAACAGAATATTGGGTAGTTAAGCAGGATTTAACATTCAGACTGATGACTTTGGGGAGGGGAGGCATGGCTGGTTTTCTGGATTCATTCTGAGGAATTCATTTTAGGTTGTGTCCGAGGTGGGCCTTAAAGGTAGCAGCTGACTTTTACTTTGACATGTCACAGTCTTGATTAGAAATGACATTTACAGCTGAATCAGAGACTTCCTTATGTGATAGGCAATGCCTTTTCCAATCCAGTCAGTGGCTTCCTTTCATGCTATTGCTGTAAAATCGTGGTGGAGAACCTTAGACTCTCCAGGTGTCTTGGACTTCTCCTCCCAGAAATCCCGGCCAGTATGATTAATGGCAGGGCAGTATGGAAGTTGCAGTCCAACCCATCTGGATAATGCTGATGGTCCCTACTGTATCTGTAAAGTTTAACAGCTAGGGCCTGAATCCGACTGCTAGGTTCAGTTAGATTCAGATCTAAGGTCTCTCCCACCTGATTATTGTCCTTCTCAGTATGTCATTGGTTGCACAAAAAGACCCACAACACTGACATCAATTGTATAGGGCCAGACATTTAAACAAGAATCAGCAAAATAAGAAAAAAAATCAAGCCTCATGGTGCAGTGGTTAAAGTACTGCAGTACTGCCGCCAACCCTCTGCTCACAATCTGAGTTTGATCCTGATGGATTCATGTAGCCAGCTCAAGGTTGGCTCAGCCTTCCATCCTTCCAAGGTTGGTAAAATGAGTACCTAACTTGCTGGGGACCAAATTGTTCCTTCTATAATTATGTTGTAAAACCACTGAGAGAGTACTCTAGCACTGTGGGGAAGTATATACATTGAAACAACAACAAACCATAGAGAAGCAGTTCCTCTGTCACTGCTATAGGTGTGAAAGGCACATTTTTTTTACAAATGGGAGATAACATGTTTGTTGTTAACTGTCATTCCCCCCCCTTAGGGGGCGCTTTCCCACCATCTTCTGTAGTTTGCGAATTGCATTTAGAAGATGTAGGCAAAATTGCCTTCTCTTCAATGCAGGAAGAGATCGTGGCCAAGGAGGCAGGGGTTTGGTGGCCTCTGAAAATGTAATAAACATTTCCTCCATTATCTTGAAAAAGATAGTAGAAGATATGGTATCATATGGGTTGGTGACCATCTGGCATGACCTCTTTGTGCAATTGTTGACAAATTAAGAAGGGCAGTAATCAAGTGGGAGAGATCCTGGGCCTGAATCAGATTATTAATCCCAAAAGGAGTAGACTCACGGAATCCGTGGAATTTGCCTAATTCTTGACTCACCATTCAGTGGGTCTCCTCCAGTGTAGATTCTAGTCAAGCAGTGGGTAGAATGGGTTGTGTGGATATAATCAGTACTTCTGCTACTGTTTTGGGAAAATACAGGTTAATTGTCATATAATCCATCTGTAAGGAAGTACAGGACCATGCTCTGCCTTATTTTTTAGGAAGAAGATAGGAAGGAAGGAGCTTGTCTTTTAATGATGTAAGACACTTTCAGTCTTTTTTAAGGAGAAAGGCGAGGTGAAAGTATTTTAAAATAAATAAATAATAAATAGACGTTCCAAAAATTCCCAAGCAAGAAATTGGGAATTTTTCTATGACTGGGAGATGGATGTGCAAAAGGGGCATACAAGTAATGTGTTGTTTGCCAACAGTTCTAGCTCATACTTGAAAGCTTGATTTCTGATTAAGAAATGTAGTACATGCTTTTGAAGTGCAAGCATGAATCACTCACTGAAGCCATCCTGACCTTGATTTTGTCATTGTTGCTGCTGCTTAGACACACAATACTGTTTGACAGTCCATCACTTCACCAGCCATGGAAGGAGCACTTCTGTCACCAAAAAATGTGCCACCAGAGAAGAATGCCATTTTGTTGGCTGTCGTCACCTCAGGGAAACTAGCCGTACAGTAAGCATTACTTTTGTGTGTGAAACAAAGAGCTGTTAAATGGGGGGGGGGGGCATTTTTTTTCTGTTCCATGGCACCAAACCTCTTAAAAGTAACACTGGTAATGTTTACACAAACCTGAAGGTAATGCCAAAAATCAGCCTTGGTTAAGGTGGTCGTCGTCCTCCTCCTCCTCCTCTGTACTTACTGTATCTTTTACTATCTTACCAGTCGCACAGTTTTCTATAGACCAAAGAACAGCTCTTAATTATAAGGTTTATCTCAGCTTTGAACTCTCCAAACAGAACCTATATTAGCACTGCCTTGCACTTGGAATTCCTTTATACATCTGTGTAGAGTAATGAGGTACAGCATTTTGCAAGGCTGCCCTGTTTTAGCTGAAAATGATCCAGTCACTGAAATAAGTTTGTAAAGTGACAGTGTGGTTCAGGGACAGAGATGTGGATTTCCTGCAGCTTTAGCATGTCTTGCGCAACGAGCAGAACTATGTATTAATTGCAGTTCCATGCATATGTGATGCTGAAGTAAAATCTGGGTGTATGGTTTAGTATCCCCAGACTTATTTCCTTCTTTCCTTCCTTCCTTCTTTCTTTTCTTTCTTGAAAGCTTCTTAGGCTTTTAAAGATAGCGTTGAAGGTATGTTGGTATTATCTGATAAATCCCAAACTACAACAGAGGGCAGTTACTGCAATTTGTAAAGGTTAGTGAAAGTTCAGCATCCAAGGTAGTGGTCATACCCTCCTCACAATCACATGATGAAGAACAAGTGAATAAACATTTCCCTGATTTACACAATCATAGCTTGAAGAATTTTGATTTTTTTTAATGACAAAGTTTTCACAGTGCTCTTTTTTCTGACTGCTGAAGTCCAGATTTACTATCTGCAATACAGCTGCTAAGAGAATACTTACCTGTATGTGGATTAACCAGAACTTGGAAATATTTGTGTCAAAGCTAACAGTGTTGCACTGATGTTAATCTAGAAATTAATTTGTTAACTTTAATCATTTTAATGAATATGGTAAAATCAATTTCTTGTGTTAATTGTTAGAAGTGTACTTCTGATACTTTATTTCAAGACTAAAATGAACACAATTAGAATGATTAACCCACCCAAATTGGCTCTCTAAGCATTCAACTGAAGAAACATGAAATGTGATTTATGATTCAAGCTATTAATGTTGTTATTATAACAACATTATAGCACCTTTTAAAATAGTTCTTTAAAAAGTTATTATAGGTAGCAATGTAAAAACCAATTATTTTCAAGCTCTTTTGACCTAGATGGTGCAAGCGTGTTGTCATCAAGACATTGTGTCTTTCTGTGCAGCTGAGCCATTTGGAAGAGTTCACCAGAAATTTTCAGCTACCTGCATAGGAGATCATTATTGTGTGTTCAATACCATACACAATACTGTGTAGTGTTCAATACTGTGTCTGTGTACAGATCTAACCTCTGCCTCATTACTGCAGTTGCATTATGGCAGGCTTGCTTTGCTGTTGCTCTCACAACCTGGATCCATATTTTGCCTTGACAGTAACATAGAAAGAATAGGAATTTCCTTCACAACCTTGAGTAAAGGCTGTGATGCAGGGAGCAGCCAGTAAAGAGAATTCAGATAGCTTTTGTTACAGTCTGCTGTATTTTGTGTGATAACTTCTCGTGGGTTTTTTGTCCTTTCCAGAACTTACTTGTATCAATTCTCCAACTACCCCCCAGTAAAACAAACTGTTGCGGTGTGAATGTCTGCTGAGTGGACAAGGCGACACATGATTGAGGATTTTCAAGCTTGCTGTGAATTTTCCACTCTGTAGCTTCTGCCTCTTTTGTTTCTTTCCATTCAGTGTGATTGAGGGATAGTTATGAATAGAGGCTTAATTAGTTCCTTGCAAGAGTAGAGGGCAGGGATTTGTTTAATCATGGAACAACTGAAGTACAAAGCTGGAAGTGTCCCAGAGGTCATCCAGTCCAGCCGTCAGTCAGTTCAGGAAACCCACAGCTATCTGTCATCCCGGACAGATGGCCACCCAAGGTCTGTTTAAAAGCCTCCAGTGAAGGCAAGCCGCCATCTTCTGAACAACATGTTTTTGTTTTGTTTTTTGAATTGTATATCAGCCTTCTTTCCCAGTAATAATTTGGGTTTTTTTTTTAACTGACAGGAATGCATATCTTGTTGTGAAGGGATGATCTGCAATGTTGACATACCAACAAATCATACCAATGCTGTATTTGCAGTCGTGAATGCTCGGAGGACATCAGGCAGCAGCAGGCGGGCTGTTAGTGTCTTGTTGGTGGTCTCCATCACAGCGGTGCTCATTTTATGACATGCCTCTTCTTGTCTACTGGAAGTAATTGGGCAACTGGAGCTCTATGAAGGTGGTGATGAAGAAAGGAAAGTCCTCAGGTATACGTTGTATGAGGAAAAAGTACAGAACAATGTTGCTTCTTTTAAAGACTGCTGCTCATGAGCTAGAGACAATCTCACAAAGACTTGTGCAATGTCTTCCAAGGATGCAGTGAGAGGGCCAAATGGATTGACACAACTCATTTATTAGAATTCTGCATTGAGGTGACGAAAGAATCCATATTTACAAGGAATTGCTAGAAGATTTGGAATTATTCTTCAATATATATCACCATTTTTTATCTTTTCTGATATGGAGAAGTAGCGCTGAACCACGTTGTCAGACTTGTTCCTAAACTTGCTGCTGGGTCTAGCACCAAACTTCAGTGGTCCCTCAACATGATGCCACTGATGGTTCCAGCTGATGTTGCACCCAGCTGAGTCTCCTAAATGCTGCTGCTGTTACACTGACCCGAGTCCTCTGGCATGTCTGGATGATAACGCTGGCAGGAGTCCCTGTGTCTGGTGTTAGCGCCAGGACTGTGAGCATGCTGTCCTCTGATACCAGCTCTGCTTTGTGTTATGATGATCATGGGTCTGTGAAAATGATGACACCAAACTTTACAAAAACAATAAAAATGTGAATCACATTCTGTTTTTCTTGCAAAACCAATAGGAAATTTAATGGAAGCATCTGTGTAAATGTAAGTGAGCAATGCAGATAAGTCAAGATAAGCTGAATATCTCTGTCTGCTCTAAACCCTTTTGGATTGTAGGTAGACTCAACAATTATAAATTTAAAAAAATGATTTTACTTCAGAAACTAAGTGTTACATATCAAATATATATATAAATAATAACCCAATGCCATTACTTTGGAACAAATATTAGGACTCTGATATAGCTTCAGCTGAATCTCAGACTGAATTAGGCCAATTCAAATTAGTCTAAATTCAGTCTGAATTAGACTAGTCCAGAGTGACTCAAAATCTATTAAAATTGCCTTTTCTGTTATTGTTCTCTCTCTCTCCCCCCCCCCCGGAAGAGAGTTCATTTTAAATCATATATTAAATTATGTAAAGATGAGCTTTAAAGATGGGTATCTAATAAATAAAGAAATAAATCCCCACGCCTGCTCCAAAAATGGGAAATAGGGGAAAGAGATAACTCTCAGTGTGGGACATATTCTGCTTTGCACGGAGCGTCCAGGGTCCATTGCCTGACATTTCAGTGTAGGACTGAGAAGGACCGCTCTCTAAAACCTTAGGAGGGTCATTGATAGTCATTTCAGATATGCTGAACTGAGAGCACCAGTGGTATAACTCTAGATTAGAAAGTTACCTGTGTTCCTTACAATGATTAGGGCTTGTAAATGCAGATAGTGTATAATAAAAGCTCTAGCCTTGAGAACCATTTGCAAACCGTAGTTCAATAGCAGGCTCCAACCTCAGCTGTGTCTATTTGGAGATTGTGGATCAGCTCTTTGAACTGCAGTTAGATGTATTGCCCCAAGTAAATGTGTCAAGAGATGTTTTAAAATGTTGAGGGGAGGGAGATCTTAAGTCCAAAGCACTTTTTAGAACCTTCATACCTTCGCATAGCCTAGCAAGCGACACCCACAGTCCTGGGCTGAGCACAAAGAGCTAAAGAAGAGAATGGGAAACGCCAGACATAGAAGTGTTTCTGTGCTTCCGGGGAACGCACTGGATGGAGGCAACAGCATCTGTCAGCATTAGGAGCTGTTGTTTGAATTATATAAAAGTCCACAAGGCTAAGGGGAAAGATACACTTGAGATTCTGAACCTTAGGCCAGGTATCATATGGTGCTATTATGTTCAGTCATTAGCAGTATGTGTAGTTTGTCTAGATCTTATTCGCATATCTCAATAATACAATTATTAGCAACATTACACAGTGGAAACAAAAAGAAATGCATCAGCTCATGTAGGTTACTCTTTATTAATGCATAATTATCTCTTTTTAAAATTGCAATGTGTGTTTAGTCGTTTAGTCGTGTCCGACTCTTCGTGACCCCATGGACCAGAGCACGCCAGGCCCTCCTATCTTCCACTGCCTCCCGGAGTTGTGTCAAATTCATGCTGGTTGCTTCGCAGACACTGTCCAGCCATCTCATCCTCAGTCGTCCCCTTCTCCTCTTGCCGTCACACCTTCCTAACAAATTGCAATACTTTACAATATTTATTTTGGAGGGCTCTCTCTCTCTCTCTCTCTCTCTCTCTGTGTGTGTGTGTGTGTGTGTGTGTGTGTGTGTGTGTGTGCGCTCGCGCGCGTGTGTTTGTGTTTGTGTTTCTTACCTTTTCTTTTAATGACCATTTGGTATACTGGCCCAGTTAGATCTTGCAGATGAAGTGTTGATCTTGAACAACCTGGTGTCACGTAAACGTGGCCTGCAGGCAGGTCATTGTGTATGAGTGTGAGAAAGAAAGGGATAGAGAGCACCTCCCTTTTTCTTATAAAATGGAGCCTACTTTGCAGGGCTGCTGTGAAAATGCAACAGAAAATATCTAAGGTACAATGTAATCATTGTCCAAATGGACCACTTTGTCTATGAAGAGCTGTGGTGCAAAAGGTGTTTCCTTTATTTGAAATTTTTCTTCCATGTAATTTGTGGTATGTATGTGTGTGTGTATGTACAGGGACTATATATAAACATTGCTGTTTTCAGGCGAAGGATTAAAATTGCCCATCTGGAATGAAGGTGGGAAATCTTTTACTCTCCAGGTGTAGTTAGATTCCAGTTCCCATCAGCCTCAGGGAGATTGACTAGTGGCCAGAGATGGGAATTGTAGTTTAACAACAGTCAGAGCCATAGGTTCCTCACCCCTGCTTTAGGGCATCAAATGCTAAACAAACAAACAACAACAAAAACATTTCAGCCAAGAAGATAAAACAGCTGCCTGGGCCAATCTAATAAAATTTTCTTTTATTATGTTTTTTTCTACAAAGTACTGTATATCTTCTGTGGGTTTTTAATTGTTGCTTCTGGGTGTCATAACGTTTTCTGCTTTTGGACCAAGATTTTCTGGGCTTGGAACTTTGCAATGTATTTTTCATTTTTGGTATCTTATTTTGTGACATTCATGAACTGTGTTCATTTTTCTCAGTTTCATTATTTTTAAAAGCCTGTTGTAAATATTTGCAAGACAACCTATGGTCTTAATATTGTTTATATTGTAAATAAAGATCACCATACATTGAGAGATCTTCTGGTGATATGACAGGATTTTCAGCTTTGGGGAGCCCAAGGGCACATTCATCATTTTGAATCTGTGCCCTGGCCCCCACTGTTGATGTGGGGACCCCCACATCAACAGGAGGATGTATGGAGGCATATGCCCAGTCAAAAAATGTTAGAACCACTTGAAAAGAGACAATCTCAAAATGTTGGAAATATGAAAGAGATAATAACAATATTTAGAAACAGAGGTACAAGTACTTGACTTATAGCAGAGAACTGTTCCAGGTAAAACTAATTTCATGGCATTTCTCATTAAACTGAAGTGTGTAGTAAAGCCTTGCGTCCCTGTGATCTGTTGTCATTGGCAGTAATACGTTTTTGGTATTAGAGGAGCTCTACAAAAGGTAATAAAACGTAAAAATAAAAAACAAAATAGAAACTTGCCATAGTGAAGGTGGTCCGAATAAAGCTAATTAGTCAGCATACCAATCATACCTTAACTGCATGAAACATACGTATTGAAAAATGCTGTTATTTCAGCATTTTGTCATGGTGCATGAGACTGTTGACTGCAAATCAGCGGACTCTCCCACAGTCTAGTACTTTGCTTGAAACTATATGTCATCTGCAAGCTTGCCACATCTGGCAGTGTTACGAGGAGATTCGCAGCTTACAAATACTCCCCAAATAAATAATTTCCAAGTCATATTGTGTATTTTTTTTTAAATTGATGAATTTCATTGATGAGGCGAATATTTCTTACAGGTAAGATGATCAAAAATGAAATTGGAGTAATAAGATTCCAGAAATGACCATGACTTAACACTGGTATTAAATGTTTTATGAAAATCCACTATCTTTGGCTGTATTTCTTCTGTTGAATTGCCAATTGCTTCCCAGTGTGTGCTTTCATTACTGTTACATCAGCTGGGCCTAAATGAGTTAACCATAAACGATACCACCAATGTTGCCAATGAACAGTGGGCATGGAATTGTTCCTCAGGCTGTTTCAGGATAACCCACAGATGGTGTGTCGTTAAAATCATCCTTACCAATACCTAGCTTCATTGGATGGTATTGATTTGTATGTGACTTTAGCAACTTCAGTCGAGCATGGAAAAGACTGATTGATCATCCTAGAAATGAGGCTTATCTTTTCCTTGAAATTCAGTCTTCAGTTTTTTCATCAAAGCAGAAAAGGAAACAAAAACCCACCAATAAAGGCACTAACCAATTTGTTGTCATTTTATTATCCAGCTGTTTGACATAATGTTCTTTAATCATTAAGTGCCATTAAGTAGATTCTGACTTATGGCAACCCTTCTCATGGTTTTTTAGATAAAGTGTGCTCAGAAGTGGTTCACCAGGCACTTTTTCTGGTGTTGCTCTTTGCAGTGTGTTTAATGCTTTACTGGTTCTCCTCTCTCCCAGGAGAACGTACTGAGGAGTCAAGTGCCTGACCCCAGACTCTGCAGCCAGGCTAACCCAACTCACTGATCTATTCAGATAATTAAATAATTATGTCATATCAAGTCAATTCTGACTTAACAGCAAGCTTTGCTAGGGTTTCCTGAGCATAAAGTACTTAGAAGTTGTTTAGAAGGTAGGTCCTGCTACATTTTTTTTTAAATCCTTGATCTTTTCCAATCAGGTTTAAAAATTGGGCAAGAAACTGTTGTTTACTGAGCTGTCTAACTTCAGACTACAAATGACATTACCCTATATTTTCAACCACCCAGAGTATTCGCAATACGGCCTTCATTAGCCTTGTCTGCAGGGGAGAGCCTCGGTTGTTTTTATTATTGTTGTTTGTAACTACTTGAAAGATTTTATTCTTGCAACTAGTCCCAAGATATGTTTGAACTTGAGTACTTACACACACCACTCTTCCTAGTAAGTGATGCAGTGATATCAAAACAACACCTAGGGGAAGAGAGGTCTTTCTTAAATTGGGCAACAAACTTCATCTCTGCTGGTGCTTCTGCGATGGTGATGGATGACAATGTGAAGACACAAATTTATTCCTGTGGCGTAGTTTTGGAAAGTCTGAAATATATCCTTGCCTGTTGTTCTCCTTTCGGAGACAGTAGCTCTTTTCTTGACAGACGGATCACTAAATACCATGTTTGCAATAACAGCTAACTGTGAAATATATGTTTATATCTGTGGATTCATTAAACTGAAGTGAAAAATCAAAGGGACTTCTATAAATCACTTCTCAATGGAAGCTCCAGCTCACCCGAAATGGACTCTTGTCCATCCTTTTACTGTATAGACTGTGGAAGGATGGAAGGTTGAGTCAGTCTTGAGCCAGGTAGGCAAACTTGTTTGGATTGAACTGGTTGTGAGCAGTCTGGACTGCAGTACTGCAATTTAACCCTTGTGCCACAGAGCTCAAGCAACCAGCGGTCCAAAATGCTCATTTCCACAGCTCCCTTGCCTTTTCCCTTTCAGATAGTAAGTTTGAACGGTGGGTGGGGGTGATGGTGGCAGATTATATGTGAAAAGATTGATGAATGGCTACATGTTGCATAGTTTGGTGTGTAATGGGGAAGAGTGTATACTATGAGTGAGGGAGGGAAAGGGTGCTGGTGATCTGAAGCAATACTTCTTCCCAAACCTGTTCTGCAAGACCTTCTCTACCTCTCTCCTGGGACTTATTCCTAGTGCCTCTTTTATCAGTTGGAGTATTCAGTTGTTTGTTATTGCGTTTCCTCCCATCACTGTCACCAATATGCAGTAAGTGCACGATCTGAAGCAATACTTCTTCCCAAACCTGTCCTGCAAGACCTTCTCTGCCTCTCTCCTGGGACTTATTCCTAGTGCTTCTTTTAT